GGTGATCCTCCAGCGTGGAGTGCACTCTCTTCTTCTTCTCCTGCAAGGATTACAGCGGCATTTGAAACATATTTCACCGCGGCGCAGCAGCAGAACGAGGGCGGGATTAAGGTGTTACTGTGGAGGGGTGGTGTTAACGCAGAGGGGCGGGGTGTTAAAAGATGGCGGAGCACTGATATTGTTGGGGGTTAGCGGCAGTAGCCCAGGTGATGCTGAAGTGATGCTGATACGGTGGCGAGTTTGGGGGGGTTAATGGAGGCAGAGTGGAGGTGTGAGAGGTTTAAGATGCGAGGCTGCATGGGGCGGAGCCAGCAGAGGTGAAGGTTTGAAGGATCATAAACGCTGTGAGTGCAGAGCAGCCAGGAGAGGAAAACATGGAGATGTGCAAGGAGACGCCAGGACCTGCAGTTCCACTAATGTCCACTAGGTGCTCTGACCCAGCCTGTTCACATGTGTAAACGATTCAAAGAAGAGCATTTAACGTGTCATCACCGCGCTGACATCAGCAATCAGCCGTCAGGTGACTCAGTATGTCGTCGTGTTGACAGCGTATGATGACACAAGTGACACCTGGAGACTGTTGCTGTCTCTGCCCCGTCAGGTGAAGCTGTGCTCCTGTTGCTGAGTGCTGAACACCTGAACAGGTGCAGTTCTGGATCCTGTCAGTACGGACACCTTCCTTCTTCTACTCCAAAATTTGCCACTTCCTTCCATCTTCATCAGGTCTCATCACTCCTCTGCTTTCCTGACGGCAGTTGCCATGGTTACTAGAGCTCAGCTGTGCTGCTGCAGGCCTGTTCCCATGGTGACCACAGTCTGTCAGATGAACAGATAAAGGTTTTTCAGATCTGCGAGCAAATCAGGAGGGGGGTGGAGCTTCTGAGCCCGCCACCCGCGCGCGGCATGCTGGCAGCGCCAATCCTGCTTTCCAGCCCCCCTTGGATTGCCCCGCTCTCTCTCTGTCACCCCCCCCCCCACAGAGACCGGTTTATGAGTCTGGGTGCATTGTGGGTAATAATTCTCTGTGGGTCCTGTAATAAACTCTGTGAACTGAGCGCCGATAATAATCACAGCCAGAGACCGCAGGAACACCTTTTCAAAGTAAAAGTCCAAACTCTGGGGCCCGTAATCAGCCCCCAATCAGCTGTTCTGATTGATTATTTACCAAGTCTGACTCAAACTGGCAAATCTGAAGGAAAGCCTCTGAATGTGATCCAACATCATCTACGCACAGGCGGCTCCCCGTCAAAGCCAGGTTCAAAGGTCACAGTAAAAAAATACAAACATTTACAGAGATGCTCTGAGTTTCTGTGCTCGCTCTGACATCACGAGAACGATCGTTTAAAGACCCCGCCCCCATTGGGACGGCTTGGTCAATGTCAATAACAGCAGAGATCGCCTGTAAAACAATGTTGACTTCAGAAGACTGTACACAATGATGGCTGAAGCAGCCAATCAGGAAACGTGACAAAAAACGATGAGTGTGTGTGTGTGTGTGTGTGTGTGTGTACGCGTATTAACATGTTTGTGGGGACCAGAAATTGGAAGATTACCAAGGATACACAAAGGGAGTGTGACTCTGTCCAGCTGTTGCCTGATGTTAATCCACACCAGGAGGAGATGTCACCCAGGTGTGAGCAGGAGTGTGGGGAGGGGACACACCTGCAGTCTACCTGTGTGGCTCATTTTAATATCAGTGAGTCCATCAGAGCTGGTGTGTGAGCCAATCCCAAGCGTGCGCACACACACACAGGTGAGTAAACAGCAGGTGTTCAGCAAACAGTCGGCTCGTCTCAGTCTGCTGTCAATATTTGTGTCTCTGTTTTCACCGCGTTCTAAATATTCACATTCAAACTCAAATATTTGAGGTCTGAGCACCGTAACCTGGGCGACACGCCACCAGGTTAAACACGCCGCTTAGCAACGCTGCTGTCAGAACATGCTGAGAAACCTGCAGCTCGCGTTTGTCACGTGACCACCCAGATTTATGGCAGCGGGAGGAGACCCTGCAGGGTCACATGACTGCTCTAAGAGTTCTTATTAATAACGGGGATTTCTCGACCCTCACGGTGCACTCAGGATCATCACGTCAGTCTGGATGACCTGCCGAACCAGAGCCGGGTCCAGTCTGGCCCGAGTCACTAAAATCCTGCGTTGGCTGACTCTGTTGTGGTCGCGTGGTTTATTTCAGCAGCTCGATTCGTATAAAACGTTCAGCTCGAGCAGAGGGAATCCCAGACGCTGTAACTCCACAGGTCTGTAACACACCTGTAAGACACCTGCGCTAGCAGAGTCTCTACGTCTGCTTGTGTCACAGCGGAGGAGTCGATGCTGAGCTGCCAGACCTTCACCTCTGATCAATAAATCTGATCGGTGCGTCTCTTTGTGAACGGATGACAAACACAGGTGTTCGCCCACTCTCTCGGAGCACACAGGTAAACAGACTCACCTTGGCGGTAGAGCCGTCCCTCTCCTCCATCACGGCCTTCATCTCCTGAGCTGTGATGTCACTTCGCCGTTGCCGTGCCAACCAAAGACGCTGGACCAGAACTGAGCCGAACCGCTCGATTTCCTGGACGGAGTCGGCGTCACAGATGTGCCGCAGGAGCTTGTCCACATCCTAAAACGCACACGGAAGGAAACCCATCAGAACCTCAGACAACCACGAGAACCTGCGGTCATCAACACGCCGCCAGCGTTTACCTGATCGCCATCGTCCAGGTGGAAGCACTCTGACCTGACAACACACAGATGGACACGTGTTAGACTAAGCGGCGCTCACGGTCGCAGCGGCAGGTGAAGCCTGAGCTCCTTTGAACAGGTGAGCCCAACATTTTTAGCAGATTTTAGTTTAAAAACTGAGCATCAGCGTTTGGGTCCCTCTGGCTGCCATCAGAGTCGAGTCAGAGCTCGCTGGTTCCTATCATGATGAGAAAAGTTCGTATGTCTCTAAACTCGCCGTCATACAGCAACCGTGAAACTAACGGGTGGAGCAGGAGGAGCAAAGAGTGCCCATCCTCTCAGGTAACGGGCGGAGAGACAGAACCACAGGAAGGCTGTCAGATAAACGAGAGGAGCTTCTTCTGTTGGAGGAGACGGCAACGCTGTCCCAGAACATCTGGAAACAGCTGCAGGTGATCCTGAACACACTTGTTCATCCTCAGAAGACCACCTGAGTCGCTCAGCTGACTTCATCAGGGTTCGAGGGCGTGTGTTCATCCAAGCCTCCAGCCTTAACGAGTAGTTTTAATGTAACACGTGGTTACTTATTTGGTTAACGAGTTAATGATCGCCTTCTACATTTGTTTAGCTTTTGGTCCCTAAACTGGAAGTCTGACCCTGCAGGACAGTGGGAACACTCTGTCGCCTTATGTTCCTGCAGCTGGGGCGCCGCCGCACAGAGGGCAGCGTTGGTGGAGAAGCCACGGGTTTTATTGTGACAGCCGCACTGAACCGGCAGAGCTCAATGCTCCTGCAGGGTTCTTGGGGTCAGAGTTCAGCGGACCTGGATGTAAGCCTCCTGAAGCTGGATGTTTCTGGCCCTGAACACGGAAAGGTTTCAGGCGCTCTGCCTCCATCTCTGAAACACAATATTTCCTTTTCTCTGCCTCTTTATGAAATGTGATTTCGGCGTTCAGGTAGTCCCGAGTTCATTTCTGTGCAGTGAGTCTTAAATAAAACAGCGTGTGAGCAGCAGCTGAGGGGGCTGAAGCGGCCTTTAATCGGGCCTGTAAGGCTGGCGGCCCCCGTGTTTTCCCGCCGCTGACCAAATTAAAGCCGCCGCAGCCTGTGAGATGACCCGAGCTCCTGCAGCTGGGCAGTAATTTGGTCCTCGCTCCCCAAAGCCCACCTGAAATCTGCTGTCTTCGTTGCGAGGCTGCGAGGGCGTGGGTTGGGCGGAGCTTCGTGCTCGCTCTCAGCCTGACGGCGGACGTGCAGCTGGTAACTAGCTGATCCGCGCTCTCCTCCTGGGAAGCTCTTTCATTTAGCCGGCTGCTGTTTTCTGTAATAAACTGTAATAAGGTGGCCGAGCCGCTCGCTCCGCGGGGAGCAGCAGGTAATGAAAGACCGGCCGCCTCCAATAAAGCTCCTCTAACACCCTGCTTACAGCCCATCGAGCCCGGCTCAGCCCGGCTCGGCTCGCTCCCCGTCATTAACACTCCCACACAGCTCGCCTCGACAGAAACACCCCGCCGCCGCCGCCATTAGTAGGATGGGATGAGAAAGAAAATTTATCACTTCACAGAATATTTCTGAGAAACGTCCCAGACGTCTGAGAGGCCTGCTTCGGACCTGAGGGTCGGGACACGCCATCCACCTTCATCCACCGCGCCTGCTTCACGTCAAATCGATCAGGCGGCGGTCAGGTCGCTGAGCGCCGTCCGAGGCCTCAGCCCATTTCTGTTTGACTGCACCATAATCACATTATTCATGCACACACACACACACACACCCTGAGTCCTGACAGATGGAACATGCTCCTCCATATTCTGTCCCTCATAAAAAGGATTGTGGCCTCCAATATCAATTACCCTCTCATCCTGGGGGGGAGGAGGTGGGGGCGAGGGAGGACGGGGGAGCAGGATGAGGGGGGATATTATCTCTAATTAGATTTTCTGCTCTATTTGGCTGCTCCTCCAAGACGACGAGAGCTCATTTCACAGCCCTTAACAGGACTGAGGAGGTGCATAATGAGGAGGAGGCGCAGCAGGTTGCTCCTCCGTCAGCACAGTAAACACGTTTCACATGTAAATAAAAGAACAAACAGATTCTCCTCAGAGGAGACGACAGCCGCTTGTTTATGCAACAAACAGAGCCGACACGAACCTCGCAACAACGCTTCCTCTTATTGATCATTACAGAGCCTCCGCGTTATTGATCGCTGTGATCAGAACGGCCAGAACTCTGCCTCCAGCGCCAGACCCCAAACATCCCGACATATCTGCTCCAGCACCACCCGAGGTGGAGGCCTTATCCACACATGTGGCTTCAGCCAGGCCGTCCACAGGTTCTACTGTTAGTTCTCAAGAGTTGTAGTTCTACAGGGTTCTACTATTGGTCTACTGTTGGCCCTAAGAGTTCTACTGTCAGTCCTTTAGGGTTTTATTGTCGGGCCTCAGTGTTCAACTGTTGAACCT